AAAAAAAAAAAAAAAAAAAAAAAGATATTTGCATGTCACATTAATGCCACTTCTTGAAACTTTTTTCATAAATTTTTGTCACATTATTAATGCCACTTCTTGAAACTTTTTTCATAAATTTTTGTCACATGTGCAGCTTTACAATAATTAACACATTATGTCATTTCTATTCATCTAAAATTTTATTTATGGTAATGTTGCATGTATTAATTGCATTTTGATATAACCATTGTAACCATTGTATTGTAAATGCATTTTATAAGTTAATAATTTTTTTTATTTTTTTATTAGTTTTACATATATAATATATCAAATTAATCATCTCTTTACGGGTTTCAATTTAACATCCATATTGTATGTATAAAAAAATAAATAATTATTATCTTTATAACAATAATAAAATTGTTTTTAACATTAATTAGAAAAGTAAAATTACTTAATTAATTAATATATTTATATTTCAGCTTTATGATATAAGTTATAAAAATTACTATAGCATAACACATATAAGTCGCACAAGTAACAAGTGTCATTCTAAAATATACAATAAAAAGGTAAATGAAAAATAAAATAATTTTTCTTACTAATTTTAAATTTTAAGAATAATTTTTTAACAAGTAACTGTGTAATAGACGAGTGTTGTACTAATAACGAAAAAAGCTGATGCATAAACAGGTGCAAATTGCAATATTACACAACTTAATGGTAACAGCTAACAGGCAATGGAACAAGACCAACAATACAATTGTATTTCAAATAGATGATAAGCAAACATAGACTTATTTCAACAAATTCCAGCTGAGATGAGAAGCTAGGAAAACCCAATCATATGTTAATGTAATAGGATTAAATAAATAAAAAATTGGGTAACATATGTGTACACAATTGCTTTATAATTATAATATAGAATTCTTCAAATAGTGGGCAAAAGACTTGAGATTTCCTATTTCAATTTTGTAATTTCTTTCGTGTTTTTTTTTGTTGGATGAATAATACGTGTACACTATTGTGCTATATTTTATTTGTGCACGTGTCATTCATTCGACAAAATGAAATAACATGTTAAATATATAAATGGAACATAAGATATGATTCTCCACAAAACACTATATATATATATGTATATATATATATATATATTTTTCAACCTTCCTTAAATTGTTCCTCATGGACATTTTGGGAAATCTGGTGGTGGAGGATGCATTCTAGCATTTGGACCCTTTCCATTTTTAGTAATGAATACCATCTGCATTCCCCAACTTACATGCCTCTCAATGTGGCAATGCATCAACCAAACACCTACAAACACACATGATTTTGATAAATTGATAGTTAATTAGTAACAAATTGAAATCTCTAATTTTGAGCCTTAATGTTGTTACCTGGATTATTCGCCCGAAACCTGATAGCCGTCCACCCGCTTCTCGGAACTGCAATCGTGTTCTGCAGCGGTGGGTCCACGAGGTTGTAGTTTGGAGGATCCCTATCCTTATCGAAATTCCCGAAACCCCAACCGACCACGTAAAAGCTATGCCCGTGCAAGTGCATTGGGTGATCGATCCCTGCCACGGTATTCGTTCCCTGAAAAACGAGCTCGACCGTTGAATTGTACTCGAGAAGCCTCACCTCAGTACCGTTCTCCGGCCTCCAGAGGTCCACGGGCACGAAATCTGCAGTGTAGTTGAAAGTTAGAGGCGGGTCGCTCGGGAAATCAGCTCTGTAAACTCCCTTAATTCGTTCGTAGTAAGCTTCGAGAATCGCGGTCCTAGGTTGTTGGAAGGTTATGTTGTTGATGCTAGCCAAGAGCCTCTCGCCTAGTGGGCCCGCACAACTATTGTTAACGCACGGCCTCAAGTTGATCGAGAGCGTGAAGAACAATATAGTAGTCGGGTTCAACGGCACGTCGATCGGGTGGTCTTGACTCGCGAGGCTTCTGAGTTGTCCCGTAAAATCGGCCGACGCACGGGTGTCGTTGATATCGGGAAGTGTGGGGAGTGAAGGGGAAGGTGGGGGAGTGTAGTTTCCACTATACTCGATTATTGCGGTTGTGGTCGTGTTATCGAAAGTCCCGGCTACGTTATAAACCCTTGCGGCCATGTAGTAATGGCTAGGGTTTTGGTTGGCTTCTAACAAGAAGTCGATTGTTTGACCGGAAGATATGGCAATGTAGTCGCTCGTTAACTGCTTCGTGTAAGCACCGTCTGATCCGACAATCGTGACGTTGTGGTTGGCGATTCGAAAGAACATGATGTTGTTCATGACGGCGTTAACCATTCGGATCAAGTATCTCTTGCCATAGTCAACGGTGAGTTTGAATGTATCTGAAATAAAAAAAAAAATTAATTGTTTTCACGATCCAATAATAGTTTATTATTCAATTGATAACTATTTTTGTTAATCTGAAATGATATATGTTGAGGTTAGTTAGTATGTCAATTAAATACAAATCAAATCTGCTCTGAGGAAGGTAGTTATTATACGCATGATATATTCTCAATGTTGTTATCAAATAAAGTAATAAAGTCAAAATAATAAAATAAATAAATAAATTTCGATTATATGTCAAATGAATCGTGCAAGCAACTTGTTGTTTAGTAAATGGTGCACACGACATAATTTTTTGCTATTTGTTAATTAATTACACTTTTGTTATTAATTACTAATTAGGTCACTAGAACTAGTTTTATTACTGCGACTTTTTTTTTTTGCAAAAAGTTCCTTAATCCTGTTTAATTATATCTATTAAACTCCACTTACATATTATTTTAGGCAAATATAAAATTTTCAAGTCGTTGCCTAGCTAGCAAACGATGGATAGGATAACCCGTGCTTCACATATGTCAACTTTGTATTTCATAATACTGGAAGGTGTTACGGTCCCGTTACGAAACTATTCCGTTGTGGTTTGTAACCATTAAATCAACTATCTCTGACGGTTACATGATGATCTAACGGTTACAAACCCCTATGAAATGGTCCGTAACGGGACCTTATCATTTCCCCATAATATTATCTGTTTATTTTTAGTACAAATCCAATTTAACTATATATATAATCAGTTTTATTAATTACTGCCCCTTATATAAAAATAGTAACTAATTACTAATAACTTCATCAAAATCAAATGGAATTATAAATAAATAAATAAATAAACACCTTGTCTTGAGCACGGGTATAAATCACCCGGTTGGCCATTGATTAGAAAAGCATCAGACACATTTGGGTCCCCTCCATTTTCAAGAAATTCACTTACAACAGCCCTTATGTCACTTTTCCACCATTCACCTATTAAAAAAATAAAATAAAATAAAATAAATTATTAAATATGTGCACTAATTTTGGACATATGGTAAATTTATATAGTAATTCTTATATATATATTGAAATTGAAATAATTAATTCTTTGGATATACCTACCTAATATGATTGGAATTTCTGCATGAGGTATAGGAAAAGGATAATCATTTTTTCTTTTAGGGAGAACAATTAGGGCACCGTGCACGGTGGCTCGGGACCACTCGCTGTGCGCGTGCCACCACATAGTACCAATCTCGTCCGACAACACGATCCTCTGGTTGAACATTGAACCGGGCTGGATCGGGCACTGGGTTATGTACTCGGGCCCATCGGACCACGGATATCTTGGTTGTTTCACTCCGTGCCTGAAAGTAATTTTGATTAAAAAGAAACAAAGTATCGGTTTTTATTTACACACACATATATTTGTTTGTTGGATTTTATTTCAATTAGCCCGGCCCGAATTACCAATGGATTGTTACGTTTTCCCGGGCCCGGTTGATGACATCAATCACTATTGTGTCCCCCTGAGTGACATAAATAGTTGGCCCTGGAAATTGCCCATTTACTGTTAGTATAGTCTTGTTGCTGCATAGCTTATTGTATGGTGTCTCTACCACCTGCAAATGTTTATATATATATAAAAAAAAACATTCTTATTAATTAATTAGTAGTAATAATAATAATAATAATAATAATAATAATAATAATAATAATAATAATAATAATAATAATAATAAAAGCTTAATTACCACAAAACTATGGTAATGAGTCGTAGCATGGCTATGAACGAAGCCACCAAAGAGAAAAATTGCTAACAGCCACAACATTGCAATAATATTAATTTTCGTAATTACGAGAGTTTTATTTTAATAAACTGTCAGGCATTGTTTCACTGTATTTATAGAAAATTTGAAAGCGTTGAAAATCATTAATTAAAAATATATATAAGAATAAATTAAAAATGGGCTTGGTCAGAATTAAAGCGTGGACTTTATATTTATCACTAATAATTAATTAATTATATATATATATTCTGTCACGGACCAATTATTATTATTATAAGAATGACAGCCAATTTACAGTGTATATATCTTGCGAAATAAGTTGCTGATTGGGCTTAGTTAGGCAAAATTGCATTTTATGCCCCGTAATTAGGAGTGTGTGGCAAATGTGGACAATTTCTTTTTGGTTTAGCAAAAGTGCCCTGAAACTTGTTAAAACCCGAAATTCGTACCCAATTTGGGCAGAAATTTCGAATTTTAACAAGTTACTGTCCTCTTTTGTCACACGAAAAACCGGTCAAATCCGATAACTTGTAGGTAAATGGGCACGAATTCCGGGTTTTAACAAGTTTTGGGGCACTTTTGCCAAACCAAAAAGAAGCTGTCCACATTTGCCACACACGTATAGTTACAGGGCACAAAATGCAATTTTGCCGGCTTTGTTACAGTGTTTTGTAACGTAAATTGAGCAGCTGCAAAATCAAAGATTTTAATTTGTAGTATTAAATTAGCTCTACGATGATATCCCCTCTATATATAATTATCGAATGCGCTAAATTTACGTGGCTGTTTCTGTTGCTTCGGAATTTTACTTGGCAAAAAATCATGCTTCGAAATTAAGTTTGGACAAATAATATCGATATATTAATAATTCATAATCTAAGTTTGGACATTCCATAAATATTATTTAGCTGACTTAGGTATTTTAATATCACTTGTACTATATAACCATTTAATTCTTTGTAATTTTACATAGTGAGACACTAAGTGATTAATATGTCCCCGACTTTTGATTTGCTTTCTACAATTAGCTATTGAATTGTAAATGTATTTTAAAAATTGATAACTTTTCTATTTTTTATTGGTTTTACATATATAATATATCAAATTAATCATCTTTTGATGATTTTCGATTTAACATCCATATTGTGTATATGAAATAAATAAATTATATTTATATTTATAATAATAAAAAATAATAATATTTACTAAAATTCATTAAAAAGTAAAATTATTTCTTATTGATATATTTATTTTTAATATAGTAATATGTTGTAAGTTAAAAAAACTTATTATAATTTAACACAAGTAAGTCGCACAAATAAAAAGTGTCATACTAAATATAATATAATATATATATTTTATAAAAAAGGTATTTAAATTTTCAACTACTTTTTCTCATTAATTTTAAAATCTTCTCATTAATTTTAGATTTTAAGAAAAAAATTAGCAAGCACCCGTGTAATACACGGGCATTATACTAGAATATGATAGTGGCATATAAATCAAATAAATTACTTGCAAATATTAATTTACATGTATAATCTATATATTACTACATGATTTATAGTATTTGGTTAATCATTAAAAGTCACAAGTACAAATAAAAAAGAGCATGTGAAAATATCAACGATATAAATTTTAACGAATATTTCAATGTTATAAATCTTGTTAATTTTGTTTGAAAAAAATCGAACAGAGATCAGCTATAAAATCTTTTAATATTACTAAATTTTTTAATCGAAATTTGATCATTCCAACAATTAATTTAATTATTATAGTGAGAAAACGATGAAGTTAACAGCCACAAGTGCATTGGGCTACAAATTATGCAAATTAACTACACTGGTGAGTAATTCACATAATAAATGAAAAGTTTGTTCTGAACAAATTTTTTTTTTGGTCATTTTTTTTTCAAGAAATTAATTACTCCTGTTCGGATAAAAACCTTACAAATACTAGTAAAAATCATAATCTTAAGTGTTAAAGCTAGTCAATGCAAGCATGCTGGTCAACTCTCCCATGCACATGTGGAAAAACTAAATCCACATCAGCTTGAGCATGTGGCAAATCATGTGGAGTGTGTGCATGGTTTAAGGAAGCAAGAAGACAAAGATCTGCAGGCTTTATATCAGCTTTGTCCTTATGATCCAAGAGTGAGGAACAATGCCACTTGTCACCATCCAAGCCAAAGTAGAAGGATAGAATTATGCTTTTATTTTTTTCTTTGCTTCATGTTACCCTAAGAGGGAGCATATATATGGTATTCATTCTCTTTTCTGAGTGTTGAGCCGCAAACTGTTTTATTGCTCATCAATGAACAGACCTCAAACTTAAGCTTCATCAATGACAATGTCGACTTTTATTGAATCTGGTTGTTTTCTCTTTAATGTTATATTAAGCTTTTCTATCATGGTATCAGAGCAGGTTTTTACCTGACTCTGATATCTTCCCTTCCTCTTTTTCTTGCTCTCTCTCTCTCTGTTTAACCTTATCCATGGCAGAAGAGAGCTCTTACACAGGTCCTGAACCAAATCCCACTATCAAAACTCAACCATAAATAGTTTATCCTGTGAGTCAACTTATTTCTGTGAAGCTAGATGAATCAAACTATCTCATATGGAAACAACAAGCTCTTACAACTATCAAGGGCTATGGCTTGGAATCATTCATTGACAGAAATGGAAGGGCTCCAGAAAAATTCATCTCAAACCAAGGAGGCAACATTGAGGTAAATGCTGATTTTTCAACTTGGCAAAGGCAAGATCAAATTCTTGCTTCTTGGATTCTGTCTTCTCTCAGTGAGAACATACTTATCTTGACTGTTGGCTTAGAAACTGCAAAAGAAATTTGGTTAGCTCTTGAAAACAACTTTTCAACACAGTCACAAGCTAAGATAATGCAGTATAAGATTTTGCTGCAATCTCTGAAAAAAACTGGTATAGCCATGAAGGAATATCTTAGCAAGATGAAGAGCTATTGTGATGTGTTAGCCTCTGCTGGTCATAATATTTCAGAGAAAGACCAAATACTCCATGTCTTGAGTGGTTTACCAAGTGAATATGATGCTGTTGTTGTGAGTGTAACCTCAAGGGTTGAGCCTTGCACACTTGCTAAGTTACAAGCTTTACTCTTAAGCTATGAAGCCAGGATGGAATCAAACAATGCTACTGGAGGAGCCCTTAACTCAGAAGGATCACAACCATCCATTAATTCAGCAACTCAAAGCCATCAAAACAGAAATTTCAACAACTTTCAAAACAGTTTTCAAGGGACCAGAGGTGGTTTCAGAGGTTTCCAAAGTACAAGAGGTGGCCGTTTTGGTAGATATTCTAGAGGAAGGGGAGTCAGGTACAATAACTCCAAGCCTATATGTCAAATATGCCAAATCCCTGGGCACACTGCAGACAAATGCTGGCATAGGAATCAAAACATGACTCAAAGCAATCTTGCTTCTGGACAACAAGGTCATCCCAGGAATCCAGCTATCAACCTTGCTCAAATGGGCCCTCAGTATGGATCTTCTTATGCAACCAACTCAGACAATAGCTCAGAAGCTAGCTGGTTCCCAGATTCAGGAGCTACAACTCATGTTACCAATGAGTTTAATAATTTGAACATGGCATCTGACTATGTTGGTAACAGTAGGCTTCAAATGGGAAATGGAGCTGTTGTTCCCATCACTCACATTGGTAATGCTACTTTGAAGTCAACTTATGATTCTAAAGCTTTTCTTCTAAAAAATCTGTTGCATGTGCCAACTATAACTAGAAATCTGCTTAGTGTATCTCAGTTTGCATCAGACAATGCAGTTTTCTTTGAATTTCATCCCACATTTTGTCTTGTAAAGGATCAAGCTACCAGCACAACACTCCTCAGAGGAATCCTTGAAGATGGACTGTACCGGTTCAACTTACAACTTTGCAAGAACAATGCAGTGACTTCAGTGCAGCCAAGAGAAGAAACTCATTATGTTAATCTTACTGCTTTCAATAAAAATTTGAATTCTAGCCTATGGCACAATAGGTTAGGCCATGCTGGCAAAGATGTTATTTTCAAAACTTTGGATGACTGTAATATCTCTTATAAAAGAGATGAAGACTCCTTTATCTGTTCCTCTTGCATTATGGCAAAAAGTCACAAACTGCCTTTCTCAGATTCTATGTTTACTGCTTCTCATCCCTTTGAATTGGTGCATAGTGATTTGTGGGGTCCTGCTCCTATAAGATCCACAAATGGCTTTATCTATTATGTTAGTTTTGTGGATCATTTCAGCAGGTACACATGGATTTACTTTCTAAAAGATAAAACTCAAGTGAGAGAAGCTTTCATGCATTTTAAAGCAGCAGCAGAAAACCAGTTAAATTTCAAAATCAAAGCTCTACAAACAGATGGTGGCACTGAGTATAAGAGTTTGCAGAGTGTTTTGCAAGGGCAAGGAATTCATCACAGGATCTCTTGTCCTTACACTCCACAGCAAAATGGAGTGGCTGAGAGACAACACAGAAATATAGTGGAAATGGGTCTCTCCCTCTTAGCTCAGTCAAATTTGCCATTGTTCTACTGGGATGATGCTTTCTCCACAGCTGTCCATACCATAAATAGACTGAGTAGCAAAGTTATTGACTTTAAGACTCCTTTTGAGAAACTATACAAGAAGAAGGCAGACTACAGCAACTTAAAGGTCTTTGGTTGCAGATGTTATCCTCATGTGAGGCCCTTAAATAAGCACAAATTGGAGTTTAGATCATTACCAAGTGTTTTCATTGGTTACAGCTCCAACTATAAAGGGTACAAAGTTCTTCTGCCATCAAAGAAAGTGATAGTGACAAGAAATGTCATATTTGATGAACAAATCTTTCCTTTTTCAAACCCAACTCAACAAGAAGCATTGTCAAAAGGCATATTCTCCAGTCTTTACTCAAGGTCCTACTTTTGAGCATCATGAAGTCAGAGGAAAGAGTGACAAGTCTAATGAAGTCAACAGGGATTATGATCACAGTGCAAGGGTCTCACCTAACTCAAGCATCATGACACCCCACAGT